TTTGATGTGTTGTCTTTCTTTTCTTTTCTTTTTTTTTTTAAAGAAAGTCCAACCTTCTTTGTTTTCAAATAAATAATTATAGATTTGATTTATTGCATGCTATATAGCAGTCAATGTGATGGGAATTTTACATGCAAATATCAGGAGCAATTCATTCATTTAAGCTAGTAAGTGAATTGGGAGAGAGCTAATAGACCAGTCAGTTGTCATATGTACAACAGTCATTGCTGTGATAATTACAGGTAATGTGTATTACTGAGTCATCCAAATATGGATGTTTTCAACTTCACTTTACAGAGCAGTGGAGTAACCTGACTACATTAGGCACCACCAGATGGTTTCCCTGGCAGCTGCATGAGCCGTTTATGTCCCGTTACTCTGGGTCTTTATGCAATAGTTGTTCTGGTGTGTATCTGAAGTGCTTCCTGTCACCGTGTGACCCTGAAGGCTGATGATGTTGAGTGTCCTCATGGGCTTAGTAGGCATTCATGTGTGCTTTGGGTGAAATGCCCGTTCAGATCGTTTACTCATTTAAAAAATTGGCTTATTTGTGTTTTTATTATGAGCTGTAATTGTTCTTTGTGTATTCTAGATACAAATCTATGAGATTCAACATACACTTGCAGTTGGGTCCTAGTTACTGGTTGTTTTTTGTCGTCCCCCCCTTTCTGATACTTGCCTTTAATGGGTGTTTTTAGGTTATTGACCTATAAAGTGGTTGTGATGTGGTAGAATCAGTATCTCCCAATATCAGTTATTCTTCTTTTCCTTTTTTTTTTAGTAGTTACACTAGAGTTTGCTATTTATGTTTACAACTAATTCAGCTCTCCCCTGGTAGCTAGTCTGCAGTAATGGAGGATTTAGTTCCTGCCCCCTCCATCATGCGTCTGCTACCAGATACCTGAGCGGTGCTCACTGAGTCACTGTTACTATCATGGTTTTGAACAAACAGCTGTTAGGCCAACTAAGAAAAAATTAAGCTTTTTCTCTCTGTAAGTCTGTGTTTCTGACCTACATCACTTCTTCTTTGTGTAGCTTAGTTTACAAGGCGGGTTCATCACAATAAAGCCCTTCAGTTGTTTGTCTGAGTCTCGGTCTCATAGTTTGAAGGATAGTTTTACAGGTACAGAACTGTAGGCTGGTAGGTTTCTCTTTGAACACTAAGTATTTTACTCTCGTGGTTTCTGAGAGTCGGGTGTATAGCTTATTTCTGCTCCTCTGTAGGTGATGTGTTTTCCTCTGTCTTCTTTGAGGACTTCCCTGCATCTTGGCTCTTCAGCAGTTGGATGTGAGGTCCTTGGCTGTGGGGCTTGGGATGCTTTTGCTGCTCGGTGTTCTGTGAGCTTCCTGGACCTTTGATGTCCGACAGTAATTGGCGGGAGTTGTTACTCCTTCCCCGAGTAGCTCTTCGTTGTGTTCCCAATAGTTTCGCCACACCCTTTGTTGTCTTACAGTTCTGATTCATCCTCCCCTCCTCTGCCCTGCTCTGTAAGTCTCTTGATGTATCACCAACTAGAGGTCCTTGTCATGTTCAGTCTAGCAATAAGCCCATTTAAAGATGCTCTCTGTTTCTCATGTAGCATTCTGGGTGTTTTGTTTTTATTTGTTTATTCATATTTTGAGACAAGGTGTGGTGGTTTCAATGAGAATAGCCCCTATAGGCTCATGTGTTTGAGTGCATGGTCCTGTTAGTGGAACAGTTTAGGAAGGATTAGGAGGTGTGGCCTTGTTGGAAGAGATGTGTCCCTGGGGTGGACTTTGAGGTTTCAAAAACCCACACCAGGCCCAGTCTTTATCTCTGCTGCCTGTGGATTAGGATGTAAAGCTTTCAGCCCTATGCCTGCCTGCCTAATGTCATGCTTCCTGCCATGATGATGATGAACTAACCCTTTGAAACTGTAAGCACGCCCACAATTCAATATTTTTGTTTGTTTATTTTTTAAAAATAAGAGTAGCCTTGATCATGGTGTCTCTTCACAGTGATAGGACAGTAACTAAGACACGGGGTCTCATGTAGTCCAGGTGGCCTCTATTTCTCCATGTGGCCAGAGCTGGCCTATCATCCTGCTAAGTGTTGTGATTACATGGTGTGCAAGGGTGCCCCACTTAGTATCATATCTCCACCACCCCCCGCCCCCCTTACAGTAGATGGAGATGGAGCCCAGAATCTTGAACAAGATGGATGAGCGCTCTGCCACCGAAGGACACCCCTGGCGTGTTTCCACCTTTTCCCAGCGTGGTTCTGATTCTTTCTTAGACTCTCCCTCTCTGCTTACGTCCCCATCTGTTCTTTGAAGTTGTCTATTTTCCCGTAGCACACTAATCTTAGTTGTATTGAACATGCCTGGGATGGTCACTGACATCCATCCCTGCTGTGTCTCAGTCCTGCACTGTTCAGATGGTGCCTTTGCTTTCAGTGGAAGTTGTCCCTCGTTGCTGGGAGCCTGATGCGATGTGCTGGGTGAGGAGCTGAGGAAGTCGGCCTCAGGAACTAAGGGGTGAGATGTGGAGGGTGGGAAGTTCTCTGTGGTCCTGTGATTAGACTTCAGTCTCCTGGTGAGCCTGTGACTGGGTGCTTCTCAGTTCTCCCCCGTAGGTACTGGAGTATTCCCCTTCCCCTGGGCCACAGTCTGATAAACCCGCAGTCGTTAGTGTGCCAGAGAACTTTCTCTTCGCTTGCCTAGCATGTTTGAGGCCCTGGGTTTAGTCCCCTGCATATACATATGTACCCCCAAAGGAGATTTTTTTTGCTGGAGTTATATTATTCAAAGCTACAGATAGAAGCTAATTATTATGAAAGAAATACCTTTAAATTAGATACATTGGGAACATTTAGATTGGGAACATCTAAACATTTTTCTTTTTAAATGGAATCCACAAGAAAATGGTTGGGACTGGTGGTTCTTAAAAGCAGAACCCTATTCTCTACTGTTAGCTGTGCCCCCGGACCTCTTGAATTATTTTTGCAATTTATCATTATTTTGTTATTTCCCTGACCTCTATTTTATTAGTCTAATGTGTTGTTTCCTTATACCTGATAAGCTCACCTTTTAAAACTGTCATTTTTCCAAACCACTGACAGCTGTATTGACATTGGGTAAAAACTATGTCGCTAAAAATTGTTTTGACATTTAATTTTTCCCCAGTAACTTGGTAATAAAATGAAAAGAGAAATAGAAGTGTTTCTTGAGAACTAGGACTTGTCATTAAGAATGCTGTATTTCCCTCCTCCCACTAGAAGCATGGTGAACCTGCTCAAGTGTGAGGGCCCTGTGGAGACCCACAGAGGTTTCCTAGTGAGAACTTACTCAGGGTCTGAGAATCTGAGTTTGCTTTACCCAGCAGGGCTGCATAAGGGGGTTATTTGACCAAAGGTGTGGTTACCAGGTGTTTGAAGGGTCTACACTTGGCTATGCAGTGTGCTTTGATCTAGCAAGGGGGAGGTCTTTTGCCTCGCCCCTTGGCATTGTTATAAAAAGGAATAAATGAAAAAGGCCATTGGGTATTGACCCAAGTCCTCCCGAAGCTGTCCTGTGTTTCTGTCTTTCTCCTCTTCGCTATCTTTCTAATATTTTCTCACCCCTCTCTCCTCCTCATAGGAACCCTTGAAAAGGTGGGAGCTGGCCTCCCACAGGTCCCCTGTGACTAGTTACCTGGAGTTTGATGCCCAGCTTGTCAGCACAGCCTCCAGCAACCCATCAGCTCCTTTCTGCCTTCCTAAGATGTGTGGGGAAATGGGCTTAGGAACCCTACGTGTAAGTGAAATCGAAGCCCGGAGGCAGACGTGCCAAGTGAACAGACTCATGCCCCCTCCCCAGCCCCCAGCCTTAAGACACTGTGATGTGTCCATACAGTTAATGACTTATCAATGGAAGGAGTTGGGGAGTGATAACTCAGCAGAGTAATTGTGTTGAGTAGAAGAAGCCGGGGTTCCTCAAAGTGGGCTGTGGTTCCAGCTGTGGAAAGTTCCTGAAGTGAAGACTATAGTAGGAGACATCAGGGTGGTGGTTGTTAGGATGGAAGAGGGTGTTCCTGAGGGGTGTGGAGCAACTTTCCGGATGGTAGATGTCAGGGCGTGTGGCAATGGTTCCACAGTGCGTATAGACATCAAGACTGCCAAGAGGATGCTTTGAACACGTGCTGAAGGGTGCTGTTCTTGGGCTCTTGACTTACCCTCCCTCCAAGAATGGAGAGGAGACAGCAAAGGGTGAGCAGACAGAAGGGACTTTTTGTTGTTGTTTTTTTGTTTTTTACCAGTCAGGAGTAACAATCCAAATGCAAAGGTGGATAGATATTCCGAGATCCTCTAGGGCCACAGGATGCCGGCTGGGAGATGTTTCCGGTGTGGTAGCTCCGCCCTTAGCTAGCTTCTGGGTGTCAGGGAGAGACTCTTCTAAGCTCTTGGGGTGTCTTGGCCTGCCGGGTGAGGGCAGTCCTTTGTGGAACCAGTCTGCAGAGAGCAGGTCCCGGTTCCTGGGACATCGGAAGTCTGGGGCCCCAGTTCCTACTTGTAGGTGAAGCTAATGGCCCTTCTAGGCAGGAGCAGCGTTGGAGAAGCAGGGGCGGCATCTAGCAGGAGTGGGAGCAGTTCCCCTGCTGTGGCGGGGTCTCCTGCAGGTCTGCTTGGGAGTGGGTGAATGGGAGCATCTTCTCGGGGAGCCAGACTGCAATCTTCAGGTTTCCTCTGAAAAGAACTGCTTCCCACCCCAGCTGGGGGTCAGGACAGAGGCAGCGTGCCCCGATACACAGAGCCTGGGGGGTCCCTGATTTGTTGAGAGTGTGTAAGTGGGATGTAAAATGGGACCACTGAGAAAGAAAAGGCCAGCCCAAACCTGAGCGTGTCCTTAATGAGCGAGCCCTCTCCTCTCCCACTCTCAATGACGCATGGGAAATACTTGAGTCCTGCAGGGTTTGTAGGGGTTAAGTGCAGCCTACTGCGTTTGGGAGGTTTGGTGTCGGTTCTGTGTGGTTGAGCTTCATTCCCTCGGGCAGATACCTACCTGGCTGTTACCCCGAGGCAGCTCCTGTCTTTGGTAGGGTGGGTCCAATCCAATATGGCTGCCAGCCGTCAAAGGGCCGCTCTGGAAGCTGGGGGTTTGCGGTTGCTGTGGATTGCAATAACGTCTGATTGCCTTAGCACCTGGGTGCCCACACTTGGGCTGCTGTGGAGCTCAGACAGATATTGGGGACCCTCCTGACGCTCTAGACAGCTAGGGTCACCACCGTGGCAGCATGGGGTGGGGGTAGGGCTCTCTTCCCTCTATTATTTACACTTCATTTGTTTTTTTTTTAAAGTTAGTTACAACCACCAGAGGGCAGAGTTCCTCCAATAGCTCTGTTCCCCTTTGGACTGCTACCGTGTAGAAATTCCCACAGAAGCCTGTCCGTCACTGACATGCAGTTAGAAGAGCCTGTCTACTACAGGGGGATTGTTCTTTCAAATGCTGGATGCCAACTCCATTTGAACTTCCACTTTGCCTTAGCAAATGCTGTTGTGAGAAAATCTCATGTCTTTCTTCATGGGGTGTGGCCGTGTTTCCGGCTTCCAGCCACAGATCACAAGGTTCACACAGGTTTATTTATTTAATTGTATTATTTATCTAAGACAGTCTCATTATCTGGCCTGGGACTTGCTATGTGGACAAAGCTGGCCTAAAACCCACAGAGATCCTTTCTTGCCCCTGCCTTCTGAGTGCTGGGATTAAAGATGCGCCCCACCGTGCTGGCCTCAGACAGGTTTATTGCAGGCCCAAAGTGAAGTCAGGATTGTGGGGTGGCTTCCAAGTCCCTCAACCTGCGTGTGTCATTAGTCACATTACCGAATTGCTCTCGACCCCTAGGTCCAGCTTAGCTTTCGAAGAGCGGGTAGTGACACCAATGTAGTACATGCAGCCCACATTTCCTGCCAGGGCAGCACAGGAGAGAAGGCTGTGTGGGAACCAGGTCTGTCTGACAGAACAGAGCCCTATGAAGGGCTCCTCATGGTTCTGGCTTGTGAGGCACCGGCATCTCGACAGCAGCCCATTGTTTTAGAAAAATTCCAGCACTGACGGGAATGAGAGAGGAGAGCCTGGCAGAGGCAGGAGGTGCCTCAGTCTGGGATTTTGGGGGAGCAACTGGGTGTCAGGCACCCAGCAACGTCAATGGCTGTAATGTGGCAGCCAGTGCAGAGGCACCCAGCCTTTTTCTTAGCATGAAATCAGATTCCTGCCCCTCAGAGATCAGCTATTACTTTGATGTTGAATAGGATTCTTAGTTGGGCCACAAATATTGTTGGGGGGTATCATTGTAATTTACAATGTTTTTACAGTGGGCACCACAAGACTGGCATTTATTGAGTATCTAATGTGTTAGACAGGGTTGCAGTCCACTCGAGTAAACTAAAATCCCTTGAGCACTGAGATTCCTAGATTAAATGAATTTGCTCAGGATAACAGCTAGTTAAAGGCTGCCTGAGCACCTGACCTCCAGAGCCAGCTCCCAAGGCCAGTATGCCCAAGAACACAGGGTGAGTTCCTTTATCTGGGGCTTTTTTTTTTTTCTTGAGGAGCATTGGGTGGGGTGGGGGAGAGAGGTGCTTATACGGGAAGCTTACTGGGTTTCCAGAGAAAAGAAGGTAGGAGAGTTGGGAGGATGGAATAGTTTTTCTCTTGGGGTCTTGAGTGCAGGTGGGGGTGTATGTGTGTGTCTGTGATCACACTATGTTCCTCAACAGTGAGAACTTGCCTGGCTAGTTCTGAGGGGCTCTGCAGCCCCTGGGGGGTGGGAAAGGGCCAGAACTGTCCTGGGACACTGCCGCAGAAGAGGGGTAGCCAGGCCTGAGTTGCCCCTCTCCTGTTCCCTGCCTGATGGATCCCCACCCAACTGCAGCCCCAGCCCCCCGGGGGGGGGTCACTGCTGGAAGATGACACCCCACTCGGCAGGGACAGCTCTGGGGCAGTCAGGCAGGTGCACGCCAGTTTGGGCTGCTGATGGCTCCCGGGCCGTGGTGGGCGACTGGGTTCACCGGGGGGAAGCTGGAGCATTGTTGTCCAGGAAGGTCTCCCACCCCCACCCCCACAGGATCCCTCCTGCATCTGCTCCGGCGCCTTCTCCCAGGCTGGCCTTGCAGGCAGAGTGGGCAGCTCTGGGGCCTGGTCTCAGGTTGGTATGGTTCTGTGAGCCTTGACTGAGCCTGAAGGCCTGTGGAAGCAACTGCATGGTGAGCATTGACCCAGGACTGCAGGAGGGGTGTGGTGATACTGTGTCCCC